TGCACGGTGTTGATTTTCCAGATTGATACTTTTTCCAGATTTTTTATTTATTTATGTATTTATTTATGTATTTATTTATTTATTTATTTATTTATATTTACCTATACATTTAAAAAAAAAAATTTAAAGCGCATTTCAAAGAGTTTACTTAATCAAATGATCACTGCATCCCTATTTTGATTTGAGATAATCGTTACAGATAATTCAACCATAGACGTAGGTCTTGAAAACTCCCAATATAATCAAAAGTCACACCATATTTTTTATCCTAGACAGATTGTAGGTTTAGCACTGACTATCTTAGTACACACTATACACAGTGCGTTTGCTAATTGATGTGTGTGGTAAACTCAGGCAAACAGTTCACTGGCGATGTCTCTGTCTGACCGTGCGATCGACACACACGTGCTTTCTCCTGTCTCTTTCTTCTGTTAAAACACGCAAGGCTTGATGATACACCCTACTTGAGAGTTGCTTGTGAAGATTGGACTCTCTCAGGCTGAGATTGTTGATAAAATAACCAACAAAATGTCACCAGTACAAGTCTATTTCTGCTTTGTTGTAGGGGGCAACAAGTATCATGTCTGATTTGTATGAGGGTTTTTTTGAGACACCGGGAAATGAATAATGGAAAAGAAAAACAGAAATTAAAAGCAAATCCCATAAAAACAAATAAAAAATAATAACAAAAACCCCCGAATCAAAATATTTCACAATTTGGTACTAATCTGATACGCTAAAAGAGAAACATTATCGACAAAAAAAAAAATGTTGACGTAACTATGTTTGGCGTGGGGCGGTACTCCTTTGATGTCTCTTGGTCAGTTTTGTTTTCCCATAATATGTTGTTTTCTTCGGTACAGTTGATTTAAAAATCGGAAGAAAGTTCCCGCCTCCCACCCCGGGTGTTAACCCAAGGCGAAAGTAAATTACGTCATGTTTTCTTTCTCTACGGACGTAAAACAAAACATTAAAAGTTAGAGAAGGCATGTGAGAGGAAGAGAGAGAGAGAGAGAGAGAGAGAGAGAGAGAGAGAGAGAGAGAGAGAGAGAGAGAGAGAGAGAGAGAGAGAGAGAGAGAGAGAGAGGGGGGGAGGGAGGGAGGAGCTACTTCACGGTTCAGCACTACTCGCCAGGCTATTGATAAAAACACCAACGCGTGCCCTTATGCAATCATTTCCCTGCTACTGGTAACCAATGTTGTTTTTTCGTTAAAGAAAAATTTAGGGGCTGCCCCAGATAGAAGAAAGATCAAAGAACACAGTGTCGGCAAGGCGGCGCCAGGGGGGATTTATGCGCAACAATACCTACTCCGTGGAGCCCCGTTAGGAGAGCCTGTCTTATTGGTGTGTCCACACTGAGGGACGCTGAGTGTACATGGCGGTACGGGCATTGACCAGCTCTGTCACGCTGCGTGTCCCTCGCTCCGTCCATAGTCTGTTTCCAGTGGACGCTGTTGCTTATCATGATTATTTACTTTTTCATTCATTCATTCATTCATTCATTCATTCATTCATTCATTCATTCTTTCATTAATTCATTCATTCATTCTTTTCTTTCTTTTTTTCTTTTTTTCTTTCTTTCTTTCTTTCTTCCTTCCTTTCTTTCTTTCTTTCTTTCTTCGTAATGACACGGCAGAGAATTTGGAAAATTAAATAAACACTGCTTCCCTTTTTATTTAATTTGAGAACATCGTTACATCCAAATTCACCCTTAGACGTAGGCCTTATGCATTTAATTAAATCTTTATTAGTGAAATCTCCCACGACCACATTAAATCCCCTTTATCCAACGAAAGGCTAGATAAAGACAGCCGAATTTGAATCAAATTGATTGGTAATACATCTGTAGTATTTTCATTTACGCTTTTCTGCCTTCTGTCTGTGTATTCCCAGCCTTAAGTACATTTACTGCTGAACAATCTTCAGACCATTATTTTTTTTCTTCCCAGCGCATGTTTAAAAGTTATAATCGGAGAACTGTGCAGTGGGAATAAATCATCGAGTTAAAAAGATATAATATTTTAAGCTGTACTGTGGGCAACAGCGCGAGTACAATAGAATCCCTCTCTCGCAGCGGGACTCTGGTTATCACTTATAAGCCCCGCCCACAAGTCAAGCACCAAAATCCTAAGTCAGAAGACTGGTCACCCATTTTCGAGGAGAAAAGCGTCTGTCTTGCAGGACTGATGAAAATGAAGAAAACAGACCGTTCTCTACTGAGGTCCCAATCGAAGGCGGTTAAATGTTTTTGACTGCGGCAGGGGTTTTTTGTGTGGGTTTTTTTTTGCAAGTGTTTTACTGCGCTCGCAACTGCTCAAGGTCTTATGAGCGCGCGGGGCACATAATTTAACATTTTTAGTTGGTAGGGAAATTATAATTTTGCTTGGGTGGCAGCCGAATCCTACTCTTATCTATTTTGGACCACCAAGGGATCTTTAACGTGTGTAACTTGCACACGGTATCTCCGAGATCTTTCGCCCTTATCGGGGAAGGCTAGGTGTAGATCTTTTTTACCACAAGATCAGGGGTGTGGCTGAAAGACATCAGTAAGAAGGAGCCAAGAAGTAGCAATTGAAAGGCGGCAGAAATAGTAAGGAGCCCAGACGAGGGGGCAAAGGAGGTGAAGGGGTGAGGGTAGAACGTGGAGATGAAAGCAGACGACAGAACATTATCAGAAAGCAGAAAAAAAGGTGAAAGGAGACAATTTTTTAATGAACATTTTCTGCCTCTGTCCGGATTCGAACCCGGGACCTATTGAAAGAGAAGTGATCACCTTAGCCTCTGGACCAGGAGAGCCCCCGCCGTAGGACTAACTATTTTCTTTTAAATTTTAAATCAATTTTCTTTTGGGGGTGGGGGTAGGGGTAGGAAGGTTTTTGTTGTTTTTGTGTCTCGATTTGTTTGGGTTTTTTTTAAAGCGAAAGGGAGTTTATGTTGTTGGTTGTTGTTTTTTTAAATATTTCCTTCTGAGTCCCCAACAGGAGTTTATTGCAGGCTCAGGATATTGATTACATTTTTACATTAATGCAGTCACCAACGGCTGGCTTTATCTGAATGTGTGAAACATTTGTTGTATACTCAGAGAGACTAAGTCTTGCGACTGTTGTAATACGTATTAAATTCTAAATGGTGTATCAATGAGGAAATCAGTGTGGCGTCAGTGGCCTAGTGGTTAGGCTACCGGACTCGTAGTCGTGAGGGTGCGGGTTAATTTTCGTCGCTTCACCCAGGTGGGAATGGGTACCCAGATATAGACAGCGAAAGATGTTGTCAGTATGTTAAGTGTTTTAGTGCCTATAAATGACTGCTTGCACTGTATGCTTCCCAGGAAGTTGAGGTTGTTTCAGAATGGTCAGGTCTGCTGGCGTAATAGTCTAGATTTTAAAGCGCATAGAGCTTGCTGTTGAGCTTCCTTTGTCTCCACGTTCTGCTCCACCCCCCCCTCCCCTTTCCTCTGGGCTCCTGAATCTTTCTGTAGCATTCTACTGCTATTCCTTGGCTACTTCTTACTGCTGTCTTTCAGCCATACCCCTGATCTTATGGTTGGTAAGATTTAAAACATAGCCTTCTTGGATAAGGGCTAAATATCTCAGAGGTCCCGTGCGCAAGTTGCGCACATTAAAGATCCTTTTTGGTCCAAAATCGATAAGAGTAGGCTTCGACTGCCACCCCGGCAAAATTCAAAAGTTCCAACCACCTGAAAACGTTTAATATGATCTTATGCAGTTACGAGCGCCATAAAAACGCTTACAAAAGTTTGGCAGTACAGAGTTGGTATACAGGTTGACCTGCTGAGTTTGTTCTTGGTCTCAATTAAAATATTTTGATGTGAGATGAAGGGTGGTAGTTGGTATATGACCGCTTTTGCCTTTTGTACTTTGACAACAAAATACTTAGTGTTTACATTGCTTTGGCTTGAACTGTCAAGTGGTCTCTTTCGTACGTGTAACCGTTTTGTGCTGTGCCGTCGCCTGCAGAAGATCTGAGTTCGATTCCTGTGGGGAGAAAGATTTTAATAAATATTCCTGGTCTTTCTGTTGTGACTTTACATCTCTTTCAGCCCGGGTTGTCTCTGACAGAGCCCGCCGCGTAAATTACCTAAATTGTCTCAATAAGGGCCTAAAGACACATTCCTAAGAAAACGCGTAGCAATGCTTTGTCTTTTTGGGACCAATACCTATCACAAAGCTGTCTTCTTGCCTCTGGTGTTATCAGTATTGTCGCAGCGTTTTTGTGAGATCGGTTTCGTTTTTCCATTTCAGGACACTCTTGGTCTTTCAACCGTATGGTCGTGGGTTCGAATTCTGTTACGGGCCTGACGTTGAACCTTAATAAGAGTGGTTACTTCACATGAGTCTTCCTTATGTCACCTACGTGGCAATGGGCATTATTATTACTTTTATTATTATTAGTATTATTATTATTATTATTACTATTATTATTATCATTATTATTATTATTATTATTATTATTATTATTATTATTATTATTATTATTATTATTATAATTTATTATTATTACTATTATTATTATCATTATTATTATTATTATTAATAGTTTTATTATTATTATTATTATTATTATTATAATTTATTATTATTACTATTATTATTATCATTATTATTATTATTATTAATAGTTTTATTATTATTATTATTATTATTATTATTATTATTATTATTATTATTATTATTATTATTATTATTATTATTATTATATTATCATGATTATAATCATGATTATTATTTAATATTTTTGTTTTATTATAATATATTATTTTTATGTTATCTTCACACACACACACACACACACACACACACACACACACACACACACACACACATACACACACACACACACACACACTCGCACACACACACACACACACACACACACACACACACACACACACACACACACACACACACACACACACGACTCTACGTGCCCACATTCGCAGAAAGACAAAAAAAATTAATTCGGGCTGAACCTACTACAATGCCAATTGGGGAAACTTCTTTTAATTTCCAAAATGTACACAAACTTTTCTTTTTAACTCGAAACTTGAGGTTTGGTGAAGCCTTGTGAACGATACAGTCTTCAGAACTGTGCTTGGGTAGAGAGTTCTATCAGCCCAGGAGAACAGCATCCTGTCAGATGTGAAAACAAAAACATGAAAGAAAGGAACCTAATTATTGATTTTTCCCTCTCATCTATCCGTATAAGAATGATTCAAACTCATTTTCTGATTTTCTAATTGGCAAGCCACTTTGCATTGTCCACCATAGGCCAGCGCGAAAGCAGAGAAAGGTAATAATTCATTTACACGTTTGGGCCAATAGCTTCTTGATTTGGGCATTACGTTGAATACCACCGTCTTTCAGTACGTACATAGGATCACGATAGCAATTGGTTTACAAAAACCTAACCTATATACTGCTCATTTTAAGACACTTCCACAACCCTGCCCCCATATGTAAGTGTGAGTCGTGCTCCCCCCCCCCCCCCCCCAATAAGACCGTATATGGTTGTTACCTTTCGTCTATCAGTGGTCACTCGGGGCGCATCAGACGTATACGTCTGATTGTATTTCTCGACGGTTGTGGCAGCACAAATGAAGGTATTCATGGGAACAAACTTTTGTTTGACATTGCTAAGCTATCTTTAATTTTGTATTTTATTTAACCTTGACTGTATAGCGTCGCTTTTTTGCATTTTTTTTGCGGCGATTTGTGAAGGCAGTCGAGGCGCCAAAAAACACGGATCTAAGAAGAGTACCATACAAAGAAGGACACAGAACTATTTCTTCACAGTATTTGGACAGTAAATTGTGTTATAATGTTGTTGTTTTTGCTGCTTTATAGCTGTGTTGTAACTTTTATCTTGTTTGTTTCTGCAATTTTTCACTGTTAAGTTAGAAGAAAAAAATTAATAAAAAATAAATTAATACACCTTTTTTGTAAGGGTCCTGGCAAGGTTAGGAATATATCCCGGCAAATTGGGTTAGATCTAAGGAAAATTCCACGTGTTGAATGTGTAGATAGTGAAAGTAAAAACAGAATTTAAAAATATTAGAAAGGAAAAATGGCAAACCTTCAAAGTTGACCCAAAATTGCGCGTCTCTGAGAGCAAAGCTGGTCCAAAACGTTCAAACAGCTCTGTTCAATCTTCTCGGGTCTTTGTATACGAGTCAAAATGTTGGATGACAAACAGAATCTAAAAGAACTTGGAACTAAAAAGAAGGATTTCTGTCTCCTGCTACTCAATTTAAATCAAAAGATAATATATTACAAGTGTTAGGTACATGGTAGTTTGTAGAAGTTTTTCGTTAAATGGGCAACACCTGTGGCGAAGGTCCTTTTTTGTCGGATAAGAGATTTATTGCAGATAATAGATGTCATTAGTTTCTAGTAAATCCAAAATAATCACAATTTATCAACATTCAAAAAGCCCGTAGCTGGTGTGAAGAAATTGTCCAAGACGGCTACCTCTTCCCGGTGCTCTTACACGTATAAAAAAAAATTTTTTTTTAATTTCAAAGGAAAGAGTAGAAGTGGTCGTCTGTACAAGTGTTTGTCTAGAGCAGTTAACTGTTAGAGCCGGTTCGACTGTTCTAGAATACAGAAAGCAGTCTTATCGATTAACGGTTTGCTTTGGCTTTGTATAATCGTAAGAGGATCAAATATAAGCTTAAAGCAGAGTAAAAAAACAAACAAAGAACAAAGAACAAAAGAGCAAGGAGCAAGGAACAAAGAACAAAGAACAAAGAACTGACCGAGCTTTTGACCAGGACTTGAGCGTCACTTGATAAGGCAGGATCTCCGTTGTCAGTTGCGCGAACTATAAAGGTCACGTCCGCGGAGGTCAAGGCAGAGACAAGAGTTATCTGCCCTGTGTGGGCGTTAATGTCGAACTGGTCTGTCCCGTTTCTCAAAGAGTATGTGACCATTCCGTTATCGCCCATGTCACCATCTATCGCACTGACCTGAGAAAGAGAAATTGTTTGACCTGAAGTCCTGAAGTGAGTAGGAATGGACATGTGAACACATTATCCTATTTCACAGAAGGTGCTTAAATGATCATGCACAATCATATTGATTTTATTATGATATCGAATGTGTTGAAATTGTACACTTCAAATTTCAGTTTCAGGTCATCGGTTGACAAAACGAACTTTCCTCATCAATACACATTTTTTTAAAATGAATGAAAGGGCATAATTTGCTTTTCATGACCTCAAAATCTGGAAAATTTTGCCTGGTAATTTAGGAGAGATTAAACCTTTTAATTCAGTTAAAATTCAGGTCAGTTCATGTTTGTTCCTTGATCAAAGAGACATAAGTGTGCAGATTGTTAGAGAGAAACAGTATCAGTAGTAGGAGTAGTTGTAGTAGTAGTAGCAGTAGAAGCAGTAGTAGTAGTAGTAGTAGTAACTACTAGTAGTAGTAGTAGTAGTAGTAGTAGTAGTAGTAGTAGTAGTAGTAGTAGTATCGTTTTAAAATGATATAGAAAAGTATCTTCCTCCTTTTAATAAACTGAACTTTACAGAAAAACTTTAAAAATAAAATATTACTAACTGTTCCAATAATGAATCCAACTGGAGCAGGATCCGATACTTGGAACATGTATTTGACAGCAGTGAACATCGGTGCATTGTCGTTGACATCCTGAGAATAAGAAAGAAAAAAAATGTGTCAAAAGTTTATTTACATCAAACGTTTTTACCTAGTTGCTTTGACATGCTGAGCTTGTAAAATACATTAAAAACACACATACACACACAATTTAGGGGAGGGGTGGGGTTGGGGAGGACACTCAAGATAAAGTATTTTATTCGATGTCTTCTCATAGAAATGGAACAATGTAAGATAAAGTTTCTGCTGTTGTTTTTAGTTCGCTGCAAAGAATGCTTTTGCTTAACTAAAAGCCAAAGGTATATGTGCAGCCATTCAAGAGTAGAAAGACCAAAAAGATTAAAATTGAAAATATTTTCAGAAAATCTCCCTCATGACATAAAGCGAGGGGTAAGACTTGAAATGTTAAGAACTAGAGAAGCATGACAACATTCCCATGAGATACGTAATGTAAATGAAGGGTTCTATGACATAATGGACTCCACGAGGAAATCTTCTAGCGAGAGTGGGGCTCTTTTTTGGCTCCATTGTCTTTATACTCAGAAGAGGG